CTCTTTAAACTCAAGGGCCAGGCTGAGAGGAACACTCTTTCAACAGCAATACCTAATCCTCCTCGCTGATGAAACTGAGAGTAGCTTAATTAGCTTGTCCAGTAAAGTTACATTGAGAAGAAATTTACATGTGAATGGGAATCCAGGGATCGGATTTGGCTACAAAAATCAAATTATTACAACGTGATAGACGCTGAAACAAGCAGGGTAATTATGGGACCCAAAAGCACAGCCTCCAGGACTGGGCCTGTGTGTAATCTTATGAAGTGATCATAACCGTACATCGTTTTCTTATGTGATAATCAGTGGACTGATTGTGACCATTCATCACTCCATGATAATAAAAATGGTAAAAATCAATCATCCAGCTCCCGGAGTTGAATTAATCTGTTTATTTAAGGTGCAGAGAACCAAGAAATAAAACAAAAGGAAGACTTTGACCTCCACCTCTGCCGGTGTGCATGCATGTGCAGCTTCCTTGTAACGCAACAAGACGTGCAAAATCGCTCACTTCCACAAGAAATCCTTGACTCTTACGCGCTCATGTCATCGGAGAAATCAACATCCCATCCTGCATTTATTGAGGTAGCTGGATGGCGATTGCTTGGCCATCAAAGTAACCTCCCTCCTTTTAATGGTGACAAAAATGACAAGTTGTTACAAGGATATGATTCTTCACCAACATCATTTGTAAGGCAAATATGCCAGTATGTCTGCATAATTTTCTCAAAAATCCATATATATATATTTATTTATTTATTTGCATGTAACCCTATGCTTTAAGAACTTTTGGTGATTGTTACATAATGACCACGCATTGGAGACGTACTCAAATGTTTAGCATGATATATGATCACACCCACGTCTATCTTCTCTCTTTTTTCTTTCACATTCTAATCTGTCAAGTACAGGTTCTTGTGTCTTATAAATAGTAATTTTACTATCATCTTCTGATAATGTTTTTTGTTAGAATGTGATCATCGACGCATAATTCCTTCCAAGTAACTTTGCGAGCTCGGCAGTTGATTGATTATCCGAATACAAATTTACTCTTTCTATACAAATTTACTCTTTCTGTATAACATGTTCTCTATAACATATGCTTGTTCAAGACTGAGAACCGAGTATAAGAGCAGCTAGTTTATTATTTATAAATAATAATGTGTGTGTGTATATATTAACTAAAATGACTTTGAATTAATCATGGAGATGTTCTTAATCCAAGAGAACATGTTTTTCTTTTTTATATAATAAAAACTACAAGCCTATAAATTAAAATGAAAATTACAAGTTTATTGAATACAAATTTACTGTTATAAGCCAACTGTTATCAGTCTACAATTACATGAGTAATAAGCATATTTTAAAGATCTTGTAAATTTAATTGAATTACATAGCAATTGTTGTTGTTGTTAATAACTGTTATTTTAATCTATATCATTCCTTGTTTTAAAACTCTCGCAACACGTAGATTCTTTTTTGCCTTGTTAACTACTCTTATTAATCAATTTTTTAATTAAAGAATGTTCAGTTATACAAGTATGAATTTCTATCAAATTTGATCAGCAATCAAGTCTAGCATATTTTTTCTATCCAGGACTTTATATTTTCTTGGCTAATTTTGCGTATAATACTTATTTCCCTTTAAATATCTTAGTAATGACTGATTTACTTTTTAGGAGTTAATAAACATTTAAAAAGATTTTAACTTTTTTTTTTTTTACATCTTATGATGATTTTAATCTTGGATCACACTCAATTTCTTTTATCTTTAATCCTTGACTTGAATCTAGTGTTTTTTCTTCGAGCTTTATGTCTTTTTTTCCCTAGATTTCAAACTAATTTAAGTTGTTTATGATTCTTTTCTTTTCTCATATCTAATTCTCTTGATATCTACTTGTTTATCTAGTAAGTTAGTAATCTTTGAATCATACTTCAAGTCACTACCTTTTTAGAGTTGTTTTTCTTTTGTTTGTCTATGAGTTTTTCTTTTCTTTTAATTCTTTTGATATTTACTCTTTCTGTATCCCTTTTTTATTTTTTATTCCTATTCATTGAAGGATTGATTCTCTATTTCTTTCTTTAATAGGGACATTCATCAATTCTTCCTTTTCTTTTAGTAATTTACGGTAATTTTAATCTTTCTAGTAATATTGTTTCAAATAAAAAAAATCTGACATTCTCATTATAGTTGCCATTTATTTCAAGTTTTTTTTTATGTCTGTCTCAACTAAGAAGACTTTAAATTAATCCTGAAGATATTATTGATCTAAGATTATATATATTTTTTTTAATTTTTTTGATCATATTTTTTTTAATTTTTTTTGTAATAAAAATTATAAGACCACTCCTTACAATAGAAAATACAAACTTACTGTTACGAGCATAATTATATAACTTGGTCTGGCTCGTCCAGGTTGACCCAAGAATCGAGGTTTTGATTATTCTCAACCCATAAAAATCCAAACATGCAACGGTTAAACCTAGGTGACTAACCAGGTCAACCTAAAACCTAGGTGACCTTGTATAACACAGGTGAGATTGGATTTTGTTTTTAACATTTTTTTCAATAAATCCAAAAATATAAAACTAATTTATAAATACTTAGCCATACATCTCGTTTTATAGTTTATATCCATATGAATTGTTTCTTAACTTTTTGAGGTGGGATAACTCTATATAACCTATTTTCACATGGATTGTTTCTTAATTTTTTGATGTAGGATAACTATAATACATTTCATGCCTCACATTTATTTTTTATATCCTACATCTATATGGATTGTTTCTTAATTTTTTAATGTAAAATAACTATATATAGCTTACATTCACATTGATTGTTTCTTAACTTTTCAACATGGGATAACTATATTACACTTCATATCTTATATTTTTTTTATATAACTTTTCAACATGGGATAACTATATTACACTTCATATCTTATATTTTTTTTATATAACTTTTCAACATGGGATAACTATATTACACTTCATACCTTATATTTTTTTTATAGCTTACATCTATATGAATTGTTTCTTAATTTTTTGATGCGGAATAACTATATATAACCTATATCCATATGGTTATTTCTTAACTTCTCAATGTGAGATAATTATATTATACTTCATGCCTCACATTTTTTATAGCTTACATGCATATAGATTATTTCTTAACTTTTTCAAGTGGGATATTAAAAACTTCAAATATTTTTTATTTCATTTTCTCGGGTTAACCTGTGTTACGCGGGACTTGACCTCTTAGTTTGGTCAACTTCTGAGTCAAGTTAACTTGTCAAACTAATTATCTAAATTATGAGATTGAGATAATCCTATATAAAGAAATTATAAAGCTTGATTCTCAATAAACTCATTATTGAAGGATAAAATTAAAAAACTATTAATCATGAGACTATAATAACCATATAGAAAGCAAACTACAACAAATCATGAAGCCTAATCTCGAATAAAACAAATGTTGAAGGATGAAACAAAAGAAATAAATATATTTAAAAAAAAAACAAAGGAGATTTTTTTTATTACAATGGATAATTGGACACAAAAAAACTATCTTAGTCAACAATGTTTATCCTACTAAACCCATGACTCATGTCATGAGATCGGGATAATTTCATAAAAAATAAACATAAAAAAACAACCCGAGTTAACTGGGGTTAACCTATCAAACTTGTAACTCGGGTTATGAGGCTGTATAACCCAATAAAAAGTAAAGTGAGATAAAATTGTGAAGTTTAATTCTCAATAAACCCATATTAAAAGATAAAATTGAAAAAAAAAATCAATCTTAAAATGAGATACAATAAAGTGATTAGCGCCTAATTGGGTTAACTTGTAACTTGGATCATGAAATTGTGGTAACTTTATAGAAAAAAACTGAAACAAATCATGAAATTTAATTCCTAATCAATCCAAAATTAAATGATAAAATTAAAAAAAATAAAATAAAAAAAACTCGATTCAACCGAGTTAACCAACTAAATCCAACATAAGATTAAGAATAACAATATAAAAAACAAACTGCAACAAATTATAAAATTTAATCCTTAATAAATTAAATGTTAAAGGAAAAATTAGAAGAGAAAAAATAAATTAAAATATATTATTGTAATAAATAGTATTTTATGAGATTATATACAATAAAAACACCATCTTTTTTAAAATTTAAATTTTATTTGCTAATATTAAAATAATAATGTTAATATAAACAGGAAAGCAACTCATACGTTGTGGGCGAGCAAAATATGAGCGCCATTAAATTCGAGAAATAAAACACTGCTTTAAGGACTCCAAAACTCATGCTACATAAAAGGTCCGCATTTACTTCTGTCTAGTCGCCGTTGAACTAAAAATACAAATGACTAGTGACAACATGCGCCATCAAGGCAATAACCAAGATGGACCCTCCTCTCCATCACAATTAAAAGACTGCACAACCCACCATTTTGTTATAGTTTCTTTTCCTTTAATTCACCTTCACACTCCCCTCTTTCTTTCCTGCACAATCACAGAAACAAAATAATGGCAGGCACAATAGGAAGAAACCTCAATCTATGCTTCACTAAGATCAGACGTCCACTACCACCCCATGATCAATCCCCCACTACCCTACTAACCCCAGATGATCACAGCGATGCATTCCTCATAAAAAACTATAATTCCCTCTATGACCCCACCATTGATTCCGCCTCCACCACCACTTCTTCCAGCTCCTCCTCCTCCTCTGAACCTGACTTAGCCACCGTCTACGCCTCTCAGCGCTTCTTCTTCTCCTCCCCTGGCCGCTCCAACTCCATTATTGAATCCACACCATCCATTGTCACTTCATCAGACTTATCAGACAATGTAGTAGCCCCGCAATCTGACAGCAATGGTCTGACAACGAATCCCTCCAATGACAAGTCTTTGTTGGTTGATAGTTGTAATAACAGTACTCATCCCCAGTTATTAAAATCCCCAACCGTTAAAGACAGTGTTGCTGTCCCCACCTACTCACCGGACCCGTACATGGACTTCCGGCGATCCATGCAAGAGATGGTGGAGGCACGTGACTTGGTGGACGTCAACGCTAATTGGGAGTATTTGCACGAGCTACTATCGTGTTATCTTGATCTTAATCCTAAGAGTAGCCACAAGTTCATTGTTGGAGCTTTTGCTGATCTTCTTGTTAGTCTTTTGTCATCGCAAATGCCAGAAGATGCTGGCCGCCGGGGAGAGGATTTTTCCTCCGGTAGTTGTGGGATTTCGCGGCAGTGCATGTAATGTAGTATGTGTGTGTCGGAAAATGATTGTCTAATCTTGTTACCTTTAATTTAGCAATATATATGTGTGGGGGGGACAAAATTGAGCCTCCTTTTGTCTTCTATTATAACACCTTATCCCCTCACCACCATCTTGCTTTTGGTTCTTGTATTTATTAAGCTGGAAACTTTTTTTTTCTCGATTTGTTAGTATTGTTTTCGGGTTCTAGATTAGAAATTTTGTTTTTTTCCCCGGAAATCGGGTTTTTTTGGAATGCAGGCAGTGCATGGTTACAAGAAAAGCCGAGGTACTTGTCCTACCTTTTCTTTTTTACTCCATCTCTCTCTCTCTTTCATCTTTTTTTTAAATAGTAATTACAAGTGCTCGTGAACGAGATGTCTATAATTCACTCTTTGATAGCTGGTTGGGGATAGAAGCTTTCAATTAAGCCAAGGGACTTGGAGGGCTTGTTCTATCAAATGTAAATTTGATGAGATTACGTTTTTCACTCTATAGTGAAGCTTTGTTTTTGCTGGATGACGAATTGATATCCATCACCTGTTACATAAATTCTAAAAATTTCATTAGACCCTTTTTCTTCATTTCCTTTTCCGTACTTTCCTCTCTACTGAAACAAAAAAGTTAGCTGCAATGTAGAAGAAAAGCTGTAACATTTGGATTAATTTTGAAGACTTCATGTGTAAGATTGAAATTAGTTTTGTTAAACCTTTCGTGCATGCTTATCCCACTTTCTTTTTCAGCTAGAACTTGCTTTAATCTTCCAAGTTAACTCTAATAAACCACGTTCTTGCACAGACAATAAATATTATGTCCACTCATTGTTTTGCAGAGGTAATGAATCAAGACAAGAGGACTATTAGGTTGGGAACGGGTCAAATCCTGTCAAATGTTAAAATATAAACTAATTTCTCGGCCGGTGAAGAACATGAAAACCGTTGTCTTTTACAGGAGGAGTAAGACGAAGGTAGATCCGTCTTGCAAGCAAGCACAGGACTCCTGTTTCTCATATTTCTTTAATCTGGAAGAATCTTCGCATCAAGACAACTAGTGGATTAACAAGTGGCCAAACTTGTGTCGATTAAAAATGTGAAAACTGTTTTACACGGACTGCACAAGGGAATCTTGATTTTCGTCCTCCGTTTCCCTCGCAATTAATATGATGTTTTCAAGGACGAGGATGGCCACAGAAGATTCAGTGAAAGTTACAGATGTCACTGATGATGACTTGTTTCTCCATAAATATGATTATATTATGGTTCAACTTGTAATTCCTGGGAATATAGGGATGGCAAACAGGTATCTACATACTGTACATGTGGTTTTGTCCCTCACGAGGTCTCTTACCTAGCACCGGCTCATCAATGAAACCAGATCTCGAGCCTAATATTTATCTATCTTCTTTAAGTATTCTAGGTGTGGTAAGTTCAGGGTTTTCAATCCCGTAATAAATAACTGCACCAAAACTATAGAACAGAGTAATTTTAGCAGTGGAGACTCTAGCCCATAAGAAGATACTTCTTTCTCCAGTATTTATTAAAATAGCAGAGTATTTTTTGGTGGGTTCATGCTATATCAAAATGGGTGGATCAGGCCCAAACAAGCTCGTTGAAAACAGCTGCACAATATTTTCTGTCAGCTCAAATTCAGCTCCAAGCCAAGTCCAATACAAGAAGAAATTTTAACGAGAGTCCAGCACACCATGAGCCGACTCACCACCGTGGCATTGTGGGTTCTCGCAACAATTTCTCCCAAAATCGTAGTCATGAGACCCAACTCAAGGATCAACTCACTCAAGGTCTTGGACAAGCTAATCTGTGAGCAGGCACATTAACCTAAGATATGATTTTTTTCAATTAAAAAAAACTAGAAATGATATTATTTAAATAAAAAAAGGTCTCAAGGTTAAAACTAGCCTGAGTAGAGGTGAGAAAAAACCTGAAAAAATGATTGAATTGAAAAAATAAAAAACAAATTAACCAAAAAACCCAAATTAAAAAAATAAATTAACTAATTAGAAAACCCAAAAAAATTTTCGGTTCAATTCTGTTTCGGTTTTAAATGCCTAAAACTAATTAAACCAGAATAAACTAAACCGGTTCAACCATAACTCTAAAGCCCCCTCTTGTCTCTCTGCCTTCCTGCATTATCTTCTCCATCAGTCATATTCTCTTCTCTCAATAGCATGTTAAAATCTTTTTATCGCAGTGAAAAAATTAATTTCAAAGGATCCATTTAACCTATACGTCTAGCATTTTTATTCACTGGGATTACCAGAACTAAACCCAATGAATCATGTTTTGAGGCTAATTCCTTTTCTGAGTTGTAAATGGCAACAACTTTTACAAAATCAAGCTAAACTACATCAGGATTTGTTCATCTGCTTCTCTTTCAAAGAGAGCCTTTGCTCTAATTTTTATTTTCCTTGATATTTTGTAGGTTTTTGTTTTTTTCATTATGTTGTAATTTGCAACTTTGGTTTTGCTTGTATTGTAAATGAAATTTAATCATGCCTCATATAAACTGGAACAAGTTTTTGAATAGCATAAATGAGATTTGTTTATGAGTTTCACTGGCTTTTGAACATCAAGAACTGAATCGAATTAAAATTAATTCGTTTGAATTGATTTCAGTTTTAAATTTTAAAAAATAATAATTTTAATTTAATTAATTTTTCATATAAAAATCAAACTAAACCAAAAATAATCAACCCTAAACCAAAGCAAGCAAGGCTGGCTAAGTGCTATAACTATCATGACCACGAACACGTGATAAAAATTAACCCTCAAACTTGAGTTACGAGTTGCTCGAGTCCACCAGGATCTTTTCATATTGCTATTTTCCGTTTATTTGTTTCTAATGGAGTTGGTTTTATTGTTTATATAAACAGTAAAACAGGTTAATAAATTATTTTAATTGCTTAGTTAACAATTAAATGTTGTAGCATATAGTGGTTAATACATATGGCTTAAATCCGTACTTAGAGCAAAATTATTTTCAAAGATTAATATATTATTTAAATCATTCAATTAACAAATATGTGAAGTGGCTCAAATTATTACATAGACTATAGACCGACCTCTAATTCCTATAATGATGCAATGGGAGCTTATGGCTGGAAAAGAATCAATTTAGAGAGCCCCTTCCGGCTTCAATGGTAACTAGATCATCTTTAGGTACCTATAATGAGATTTATAAACACTATCTAATTGTAAGTGTTTGTGCGTGTAAATTCTTTCTATATAAATTTAAACCACTATTGGTCATATTCAAGAAATGGAAGAAGCTATACGAGGTTTTTGCCAACAGTACCTAATCTATTCGTACAGATCTAAGCTAAGTGATACATGACATTGTAACGAAAATATCTAAATAAATGTCTTATTCTTTTCAATAATCCATATTTGTAGCAATCAAATACTATTCTTACTCCCCAAATTGATTAATGATTGGTTACAAATTTCTATGATCTATATTCTCTCTGAATAGAAAGGAATAAAGTTATAAAACACACGAAATATCTTGCCTATGAATTATTGAAAAATGTATCAACATAAATACGATAGTAAACCCAGCTACAAGTCTAACACTAAGATACAAGGATCCCAATGCCGTTAGGTTTAGAAAAGGAAACCAAATTAGCCTCGCATTAGGCCACCATATCCTCCAACAAGGGATCGCAGAACAATGCCTTGACAATCCATAATTTTTCACCATCAGAACATTCACCATTTGCGAGATATCATCCCTAAATTTTGATATCCTAAAGCACCTTTTCCTGAGAGACAAGTTTCCCTAGAAAAGCTATAACATAGCATTTGGTTGTTTGTAAAATAGTGGCATGCTGTGTAATTGGGAAGGTTTCTACGATGAGTAAATCACAATGATTCTACAAAAATTCAATTCCAGGTGGGACTCCACTTCTATGTCAGTATCATGCTCACCGCAACCTACTAACCCTTGATAACATCTCTTACATCACAGTTAAATTATATTTTATAGAAAATACACTCCAAGTTCATTGGATAAACTTATTTTAAGCCTAGCATAGATATAAGGTTTACAAATCTAATTCCCTTACAGCCATACTATTACATATGTGAAAGTTACTGTATCAATACGGTGAGGGGTAGTAGGATAGCAGATGTTTCCAACTAAAACACCCAAGACTGGCACCGTTCAACAGGTATTAAGATTAAGACATGTGTTTTCTTGGCAATTACAGACTATACATTAATCATGCAACTGCTTCTATCTCATTGAAGACACATGTTAGTTTGGCAACCCAGTAGGAAACACTCATGTTGCTTGTTCTTGCATATGCCTCCATCCAAAATCAGAAACCAGAATATAAGTAAACATACAAAAAGATATCTCACGGAAAAATATTTAAGCAAAAATATGATCTTCTCAGAGACAACGCATCGAGAAATATCCAACCAGCAAAAACAAAACAGAGTTCAAGCAAACAATCTAAGTTATACTAAATTTTTTTGCTTGAAAAAGAAATGACTGAGAACCCGAAAAATACTGCATTGTAGCAAGAGAACACGATCTGTGTGACCAGATCATCGCTTCTTGGAGACACCAACAGTCTTTCCCCTACGGCCAGTGGTCTTGGTGTGCTGCCCACGCACTCGGAGACCCCAGTAGTGACGGAGACCACGGTGATTTCTGCAGAAAAAGAATCACACCAGCTAAAGTAAACCAAAAAAACTAACAGAACAAAAGAAAAAAGTATCTTGTTTTCTCCCCAAAATATCATGTCTAAAAGGAATCATAGCAAACCTGATCTTCTTCAAACGCTCAAGATCATCTCTCAGCTTCATGTCCAATGCATTGGAAACAACCTGGGAGTACTTTCCATCCTTGTAGTCCTTCTGCCTGTTAAGGAACCAGTCTGGAATCTTGAACTGACGAGGATTAGCAACAATTGTCATAAGCTTGTCAAGCTCCTCAGCTGACAGTTCACCAGCTCTACAAACACAGCCACCCAAATTTCAAAAATTGACTAACATCCATCAACAGCCAGCTATGAATAAACCCAAAACATTATGCAGCTACAAAGCCTAGAAGAAGGTCAGCAAAAGTTATAAAACCAGCCAGCTCTTCTCTAACGCTCATTTATCAAATTTCTAACCTCCCTCGAACAGTTGCCCAAAAAAAATTGAAGACAATTATAAATTAATAAATCATCCTCAACTTAGTAAAAAGGGAATCTATAAAAATCCTCTAACTAAATTTTCCATTTGTTTTACAGTAAGAAATCAAGCCACCGAGCTTGTAACAAACCATCACTATAACACAAACCGTGATTGAATAATCGAAGGGAGAAACTTCTATTCCAAAAATAAAGACGAGAGTGAAATTTTTAACAGATTAATATATTAAAAAGGCGGGAAAAGGTAAAAGGTAAGCACCTCTTGTTCATGTCTACATCGGCCTTCTTGCAGACAATGTTAGCGAAACGACGACCAATACCTTTAATGGATGTAAGAGCAAACATAATCTTCTGTTTGCCATCAACGTTGGTGTTCAAAACACGAAGAATATGTTGGAATTCCTCATTTGCTACCAGCGACTATCAATCAAAATAATTCAATCATGTCAAACTAACTATTAAAGTACATAGATCTAACACACATATGCATAAGGAGAAGAAGGCAATGAAAGAAAATAAAAGAGAGAGGTTTCGATGCTTACCATGGCTTTGGGCTAGGGTTTCGGAGCAAGGGTTGGTCTTTGGGTAAGCGGCGCCTGCTCTTAGAGTGTGAAGAAGGCAAGTGAAGAAGTCCCAAAACCCTAGATATAGAGACAGCGTGCCGTTATATATAGTTAGCTTCGACAGAGGAATTTTGCCGTGCTAAAAATGTGTATGGACTGATCTGCCCCTCGTTTTGTCATCTACTATTCATTCTTTAATTAACTGTCAATTAAATGTAAACATAATTTACTTGTAAACTAGCCATTTCACCTGCGATTCCCTGGGTGTCATATATTTTTTATATCAAAAATATTTAGATATGCAGATTTTATTTTCTTGTTTTTTACATAGAAAAAAATTTAGTTTGGATTAAGAAGTTTATATAAACATTTAATTAAATAAATAAATAAATATTCATATAAATAAATAAATAAATAAATCATTAATAATAACTTAAAGTAAAACTGAAAAATCAAAAGATAGACATATAGATAAAGCATAATGAGATATTTATCTAATTATATTTACTAAATTTATTTATTAAAATTAACTTTATATTCAATCATATTTAAAAAAAATAAAAAAATACAAGTTTGACCGGGTTTAATACGTTGATTTTATATTAATTACACGATAAAAAAATAAGGAACGATAATAAACAAAAAATAAATTTATCAAAAAAATATGACAAGTTAGAAAAAAAACATTGAAACACGAAAATGATTAAAAATAGATACCTTAAGTTAGCATGATAAACATATAACCTGGATAATTAGATGTGAGTTAACCTGGATTAACCTGCAAAGCTCATGATTCGAGTCACAAGACCAAGATAAGATAATAAAAAAATTATAAAAAATCAAAAGCCAATTTTTTTTTTAAATGTCAAACGATAAAATCAAAAAAAAATGAGCAAAAAAAAAAATGATGTTAATATGTATTAACTTTTTAAACTCGTAACTCAGATCATGAATTAGAAGTACCGTGAATGAAAAAATCAAAGTCGAATCGCTACCAAATCAAATGTTGAAGGACGAAATTGAGAAAAAAACCAGTCACATAAAAGAATCTAAAACAAAAAATTATAATTAAAAATAAAAAAATAAAATAAATAAATAAATAAATTTGAGGGCAATATATTTTTTTTATTGAAAAGTTAAATTAAAAGAAAAAACAATTCTAGCAAAAGGTGAAAAAACAACTAAGAAAAAACATTAAAAATTAAAGACTAAATTGAAAACAAATGGGTTTTTTTAATAAAAAGACCAAGAATAAAAAAAAATAAAGATAAAAATTAAAATATAAAAAAACAAAGAGAACGCATGTATTTTTTAGGGGAGGAGAGAGAATAATGATGAAAATTGTAATATAAAAAACAAAAAGGATGAATGTACATGTTAGGAGAGGAGAGAAAAAAAATAAAAAAAATAAAACGATCACCTGTAACAAATTGTTTATTCTTTGTCACTACACACCGCATTAAAAGAAAGAAGATGCAACAACATTTCTAACGACATTGAAAAAAAGCATGAATGGCTACGAGAAGGCACTGCACGTACTATTTTAAAATCACAGGTGCCTTTTACACTCTAGCAATGTTTTTAATTAAAAAATCAATAATTAAAGGTTAAAAAACTAAAATACCCTACATTAATATGAAAATACCCAAAAAAACCCTATACTCATGACATATTTGTTTACTATTCAAATGGTAAAAATATTATTTTACTGTGTTCTAAAAAATAAAAGATAAAAATAGAGCCAATAGTTTTAAATCTTGTTAACTTAGAAGATAAAAATAGTCATTTTATTATTTTAATAAGTTAAAATGCATGCACCCCTAACAGTTCTTTATTACTGATAAGCAATTGAAAATTGTTGTATCAAGGCACCCTGCATTTCTTTTTTACTGTAGCAATGAATAGAAGTAGTGATTTCATCACAGCTCGTCGAGTTTTGGTAATTATTATTTTCATAATAACAAGTCAATCTTTGAAATAATATAAATAAATAATAAAAACATATTTAGTTTATTTATATTATTTCAAAAGTTTGATGATAAAATAACTTCCTAATCAAATTTCTCAAAAGCTAGCTGTGATTTATCTACGAAAAATAAGTTAGGAATAAAAATAAATTTATAAAATAATGTTAACGTGTAGATGCAACTTGCCTTAGTTAAAGAAGAAAAATGCCTTCTCTGACGACATTTTTCACATAGTATCATAGAATTCAATAATTCTCTCTCTTAGTTTTAACCACGAATAACCAATTCCATTCTCGACAGGGAAAAAGACAAGCAGGCGACTGCGTATTAAGAATGACCACTTTATCAACACCTGAAAACAACAGAGCGCAAATGGGGGGGGGTTTAAGCATGAATCACAGCAAGCAAGGCTCTTTCATAAACTTCAGCAATTGATTTTTTTTCATTTACTTTAGGCATAGGAGAGGTCAAGATGCACAACCCTCTATTGCATCTAAAATCTAACATGTGACTAGGAAAGTACTGAAGACTTGGACTGCTCTAACTGTACAAAAAGATGTCCTCTGTAATGTTAGATGGACATATGATTAAGACGACGACCTTTGTCTGTGAACACCTGCCAAAGCTGTCATCAATCATCACCATCAAATGAGGCATCTGAATGCTATATCGACATCCTAATCAATGACAAAATCGCTTAACATGGTCTGTGAAGAGAACATCCAAGTTCTGCAAGAAAACTCCATCACATTTATCCATGGCCGCCATCCACAAAATGCCATCTTTCTATAGCCAAAACGAGTATGCCAATCGGAATCAACTAGCCTGATTTGACAAAATTATCCCCTCAGGTGCACCGCATGAGTTACCATCACCGGAGGCACAGTGCAGGCCAACACCTGGAGCAGGGCTTGAATTGCATAAAGGTTCAGAGGCGCACTGTGTAAAATTAGCAGGCTCGACCTCAGAAACAGAACTGGGGTGCTCTGAAGATTTGGTATTAATCCGAGGCCCATCAGAAATTAAACCTCCATTAGGAGAAAGCGCATCACTTTGAACTGTGTCAGACACTTCTTCAAGGTCATGGAAGCCATCCGCATCAACTCCACAAGGACTCACTAGGAGCTCTGTGGCAATACATGATCCATTATTTCTGCAAGATTGCAGATCTGCTTTTGCAGTGACATCAGAATCTACAGAACTGGAATCAGCAGTAGCTAGGACAACCATTTCCTTCGCATTAGGCCCCTTGCCCTGACAAGAAGAGCTAATATTTTGGTCGACAGGCAATGCCCCACAATGACCATTAACTGCATCTTGCACTTTCTGGGGAACCGTCGTGGTTGTTGATTGAACTATATCACTGGAAATATTGCAGGTAGTGGACTCGTAGTGAACAGCATTGATATCTGAAACTTTAAGTTTGTGCCCAAAAGCAAAGTATTGGAGCTGACTTGCTATGATTTTTGAAGTGGGCATAGAATCATCATCAAGCGAAACGAGGTGCTGTCCATCGCTGCTATCTTCACCTTTCACTTCACAAGGAACAGTCTCAGTAACCTTCCTGGAAGCACACTGACACTTCCCTTGAGAGTCAGCCGCTTCAGACCCAATAAAAGATACACCAAACAGCTTGCTTTCGATCTTGGAAACATCATTCTGGTCCATATGTGTCTCCCCTTTCAGCTTCCTCTCACAATCAGAGGTAGCAATGAAACCAGAAACAGCACTCTGATGTTCAACCACCTCTCTAGTTTGTTCATTAGCATCACACAAAGAAATAGAAACCGCACTCAATTGATCAACAGTTTTGTCCTTGGGACAAACAGGTAGATTAGTATTTTCACTTGTAACATCGGAAATATCATTCAGGCAATCAGGAAGTGAACCAGATTCAACTGCAGCAGCTTGATCATTTATGTTGCCAGTATGAGGTAAACTAATTTCACCAGAACCTTTTAAATCAAATCTCACAGACGAACATTTCTCATCAGAATTACATGATATCTCATCTATAGTATACTGTTCCTTGAGTTCCAAGGATGTCAAACCTGCATGTATATGTAGCGTAAAAGATTTATCAGCAAGATGAGAAACCCAAAAAGTTGCATATGTTAATATCAATTAAAGATTTAAAATGGCAGATACCTTCAGTGGGAACCGTATTTGCTCCAGCAAACTGATGATCCTTCAACAAAGGTTTCTGTAACATATCAACGCCAGGGAATGCCACCATTTTCATGTACCTCATTTTTTGCTTGCTCAATCCTTCAAGTTGTTTAAAACCAAAAACAGAAGTCCAGGTTTCCCTTAGCTCAGAGATTGCAGGTATGACCAATTTCTCGACATTTAGAGAGAAGAGAGCCTAATGACAGTTTCAGAAAAGACAAACAAAAATAAACAGAAAGTAAAACCAGTAAAAAGGGAAACAACAGATTGTGTTATATAAATGAAATTCCAAAAACCTAGTGACAATAAATGTCACAGACATTAAGACATGAATTCAGAAAAGTAGGAAAGGTAACCGATACCAAACATACAGTTTCAATTGCACTTAGAAGCCGGCGGCACATTCCTTGACGCCTGTACATGTGGCGGGTCCCAATGAATGGCATCTCTGCTAACTGGTTCCCATGGATCCTATTTCACCAAGTATTGATTAATGTGATTGTGACTTTTTATGTTGTCATAAACTGCTACTTGCACATGCATGGACATGTAAATTAGAAGGAAGTAGAAGGAAGACAGAAATTTAGCATCAACATTCAGCACAACTGGCATTATTCCAATTTAAAGAGGAAGAGAACAAATGGGAATGTAGATGCAAAGGAACACATACATTTCAAGAAAGATACTAGTGCAAGACTGTGGAAAATGCCAAAAAGGTACACGAGCATGAGTGCTGAAGTCATTAAGAGCGACAATCTGACTACTCCAATAGTTCAAAAATGAGTCGTAAACCCTATTCCACTGTATTGACACCAGATCCACTTGCTATATGGTGGCAAGTACTAATGCGACAAAAAAAAATGGTTGCAGCCGGTGGAATTTCAGAAGTGGAAAATAAGAAAAGAGGCAAGTTCACATGAATTTAGTTTTGCTGTGTTTTCTATAGTATCCAATTTTATTCTATTTTTTGGTTCTCAGAAACAATATAAAAGACTCCAAAGTGGATGTTACTGGCAAAAACAAAGACGTTGATCAATCACAAAATGATAGAAAAAGGTAAAAAATGACTCATGCAGATGGTTACTAATGTCTTAAATTACAACACATCCAATCATGTGTACAGGCAGTGCCTAGAAAAAGGAATAGTCAGGTAGAAAACTTTCAGTAGATAATCCCAGAAAACATTCATAACAGAAATGATTCTGTGTCCATATGCATTCTTTTCCAATTATAATCTCCAATAATTTTGTTATACATACTGGCAGAACTAACCATTGATAAAAAAAAAAAACCACAAAACAGTGCAATCACTGGGCAAATTTAGGCTGAGATATACCTAATGGATGCAGCAGAGATTACTTCATCCCCTCGCTCTAGAATTGCAGTCAGAAAACCACAGTAGTTCAGTCGATTGAAGTTTGACCTTAAAAGGAATATTGCAACTCGTTAAGAAAACAAACTGCTTACAATTTTTTGACGACATAAAAGCAATCACAGTGAAGTAGATAATCCTTATCAGCATATAACAGGAAAGGTGAGGACAGCAAGTAAAAGAGAGTAACACAGCCCTTTCATAGTCAAAAGCACACTTTCAAATAAAATACTATTAAGTTAACTGTAAAATAAGTATTAAGAGGCCAAAGATATGAAAGAAAATACCACATACATCCACAATAGACATAGTACAACACAAGAGGATACTACTTTTTGGGCTCACACGAGGATACTACTTTTTGGGCTCTCCACCATTAGAATAATTGCATGCTACATGGTAGAATGGTAGGAAATTAAAGGAAGTTGTATGCAGCGACAATTCCCATCATTTTATGATCTGTCCTTCCTCAACCAATTCCATAATATACTCTAAAGGTAGTAATCAATAGGGGAAAACAGAAAGGGCACCTCTTGCCTAGGCTTGTGAGTTGTGATTCCACCACTAAAAACATCAACATCAAAATAAAACGCTTCTCCCAATGTTGGAACACACCAACAAATGTGATGTATCCACAAAGACCAACACACACACACCAAAAAGATATTGAAAATAAAAGAAAGATCAGCAATGTTGGTTTCTTCAGCTTAATGACGACAATTTCAAACTTATGAATATACTTGTGCTTACCCAAAATTATATACAATATTACGAATCAGGTTAACCCCACTTCTATGGTCAGGCATGGGCAAAAAGCACTCATCCATTATGTGCAACGCAACAGCTACCTTGGAATTGCATTCAACTTTCCGATGCATTCCATTGAGAGTAATATCAGAGCCAACATCAAATCGGCGAACAAGAGTCCATGCAAAGCCCTCTTCCATTTCATGTTTAACCCCAAGAAGCGCCTGTAGTTTATCATGTAACTGACAGAAACAAAACCATTTAAGTGAATTCTGATGCACATAATAGAGTTCATTTTCAAGCTGTCTTAGAACCTGTTTAAATTAAACCAATAAAATGAAGCACTCCACTTTATTGAGGACTCTGGAGAAACAAACCACTGCTACTGATATCAGAGTATTTATCAACTACATGAATAATCTCCTAGTATAGAAAATATTAAGGGTCACTAAGTCAAAAAATCAATTATTTATATTCAAGACTCCTGTTGCCAAATCCCACTTCACATATGACGCGACCCATAGCAGATTTTTAGGGACTGATAGACTTGTGTAGAATGAATGACACAAAATAGCAGAGATCCATGAATCAAGGTCTTAACATTACCCCAGAGTGATGACCGTGTTTCTCTAAAGCCTAACCACTCACACATTGAATTTGCAGGTAGCAACTAGTTTTGCATCATCAATCAAAAGTGGGTTTATAAAACCCAAGGTTTACATGCCAACAGAACACCTGAAAATTTGCAGCAAAAACAAAAATGGTTTCATGTCTTATTAGGACCAAATTACAACCACGTTCAGATCTAACTGAGATGAGATTGCAGTATAACTTAATAACTTCCAAAAGTAGGCAACTCTTCAACTTCAAACTCAGTTGTGACATAGAACACACATTGGCAATCAAGTTTCCATGAAGTTCACGCAAAAGGTTTTTGAGTATCAGTGAATTTGTTTTATAAAATCAAGCAATATGCTACAAGCTGCCAAGGTTTCTTGTCACTTGAAAATAAGGAGTAAGATATAAAGCAAAGAAATGCCAATAACGACAAAATTTTGATTTGCAAGTCCAACAGAACATCCAAGATTATAGTTTATCACACTACAATGGTAACTAAAATAATACCTCTTGGCATTTCTTCCCGCAGAAGGATAGACTGCTGTGATAATCATTTATAGTGTCCTCAGCAGGTATACAGGAGATTTCTTCCCGCAGAAGGATAGACTGCTGTGATAATCATTTATAGTGTCCTCAGCAGGAATACAGGAGTGGTGATCTGCAGCAGAAGATATATTAAATGTACATCAATTAAATAACAATAAATAGTAGAAAATTTAGCATGGTGGAAAAGGAAAGAACAAAAATACATTAAACGACTGAGAAGATCGAGTCAATACATTTCTCCTCACACAAACAACATGTTAGTAATGCAGGTCGGGCAGCAGCATCATTCTCATCCATCTGACATGCATCCCCACCAGCCATCCCACAAAATTTGCATGAACAATATGTGCAATTCCAGACCCCTGAAGGAAGCTTCTGCCACAAGAAAAAAACAACAACAATACATTAATGACATGATGGCATTTAAAGAAAACCAAACTCAATTCTATGAGTAACAGCAGAAAAGCTGATCTTATTTCATAAAAAAGATGCTATGGGCAATATGTGCAAATACCAGATTCCAGAAGGGAAATTCTGCTGCAAGAAAACAATCTATAATATGATAGCACTTACAGTGAATGAAGTTCAATTCTACAAGCAACAGCAGAAAGGATGATCTTAAGCTTTACACAAATAAGTTACTATGAAAAGGCAGCTTCACGAGGAATTTTTCCACCATTCATTTCTTAATATCTAATAACAAAACTCTATTTTGAGATTTTATTTTCTTAAGGTATTCCATAACCCGGAGAAATTTTTTTGCTACAAGTAATCTGGAGAACCTTGAAGGCAAGATTTCAGGACTGATCCAAGAATAGCGTAATGACACGTACATGGGCAGAATGTGATCTTCTAAATATAGTGACAATAATAGGAATGCAAAAGTAAATGCGTACCTTTATCTCTAGGCAGCTTTGATGAAATGTTGATGGGCAACTATCACAGCAAATAAGGTTTCCACCATCTCCACAGATCCCACATGTATCATCATTTGGATCTTGACCATCAATATCAACAAAATGGAACCCTTTACGATCAGATTCATCTTGTCTATGCCATGAGTCTAGCTGGCAGTGCAAGAGCGAAGGTCCATTCTCTAAGCATATGTTTTTGAGTGGCTGGCAGGATTTGCTGCCTGCATGAGCCTCGAAGTCTGAGATTGCAAAAGTTTCACCACAACAATCACACTGAATGCCATCTGTTGTGATTTTACCCTTCAGGACTGTTCGTGTCTTCCTGCGTTTCAAGTACTGCACTTTTCCATCCAATGGTAAAGTGCCCATATCAATCATCCAGGCAAGTACAGTTCGCTTACCATTATAAAGCACATAGCCACCACCATCTGAACCTGCACCCTCCTTGGAGTTGCGAATCATTAGAGCACACCGCTTTCTATTATGTGTTTTGAGTTGCTTATGATCTCTGACTGTTGTTCCGTCATCTGACATACCCGCACAGTCATCCTGTTCGCAGAGAGAAGATTTCCGTTTTGTACTGTCCTTCAACTTCTTACGTCCAGGAATTGCCACAGCATCCTGTTTTCTCTTGTGCAGTTTTCCTTTCTTAGTTTTCTGTTTTGCAACTCCTTCACCTGTTTTCCCATCCTTCACTTGCTTCCATTTCTTTTTCTTTTTATTTTTATCACTCCTTTCCTTGCCTATTACTTTTGCTAGCATGCTGAGTTCTTCATCTGGTAGAGGAGTAAACTTGAAACCAGTCTTACATGTATTTGAATCACCACCACCACCTTCATAATGCTGCTTAAGCACCCGGTAAGCCAAGGTAACAGACCAGTGAGTCCTTCCTTCAGGATTAACATACACAGCATCACAGTACTCTCTACCATTCCTAGGCCTACGCTCAATTGTCCAGCCTGCACCCAAAAGAAGTTCTATAATTTTTTCTCTCACTACTGCCTTCTGTTTACTTCTCCCCTCTTCCTTTTCATCATTGCTGCATTTGTTCTTCCTAGCTGCGGCTAACTTTGTTGCATTAGATTTTTTCCCAAGTTTCTTTCCAGATAATGCACTTCTAGCTCCCACATTGTGGTTCTTATTATGTCTTGTCATTTCCCCACCCTGTCTTTTCCTCAGTCCACCCACCTTTACACCCTTGTTCAACTTGCTGGGTCTCCCACGCTTAAGCTTCCGCTTCTTCCCCACTTTACCATAAGATTCATCACTCTCTTCACCAGAAGATTCTGCAGAGTCACCACCAACCACCTCAATACTTTTCTTCCCAGACCCATCACTCTCCTTAGCCTTGGGGGGTCTCCCACGCTTAGGCTTTAATTTTTCACTCATCTCATTACCTGACAGTTCACTCTCTTCACCAGCAGATTGATGGCTGCCTTCTTTACCCCCCTTGACTCTTTCCTTCTCGGATCCATCACTCTTCTGCCCCTTCTGGCACATCCCATGTTTATGCTTTAATCTTTTCCTTGCCCCGCTGTGTGCTCGATCACTCTCTTCGCCAGCAGATTGATCACTCTCTTCCCTTTTCACCTCGACCCTTTTCTTCTCAGACACATCATTCTTCTGAATCTTGGGAGGTGTCCCCAACTTGGGCTTTAACTTTTCCCTTGCCTCATTATCTGCCTGTTCAATCTCTGTACCAGCAGATTGATGACTTTCTTCATTTACCACCTCAATCCTTTTCTTCTCAGGCCCATCACTCTTCTGAGCCCTGGGGGGCCCCCCACGCTTGTGCTTTAACATTCTCCTTGCCTCGTTATCTGAATGGTCAGGGTCTTCACCATCAGAATGATCACTATCTTTCTTTTTCACCTCAGCCAATCTCTTCTCAGTCCTGTCACTCTTCTGGTCCTTGGGCGAGCTACCATGATTTTGCTTTGATTTATCCCTGGCCTCATTATCTAATTTCCCACTGTCCTCACCATCAGAATGATCCCTCTCTTCTGTTTTTACCTCAACCCATTTCTTCTCAGAGCCATCACTCCCTCCGGTCTGCTGCCCTCTATCAACCTCCTTCCTCCTCTTAGTTTTTGTCACAGACCTTGACCGCAGAACCCTGACGACAACCACCTTTTCACCATCCGCACCATCCTTTACCTTCTTCTTTTCAACACCACCATCCTCAATCTCTCCCTCACCATCAACCATACTTCTTTTCCTTCTATTTTTACTACCCTCAACAGCATTACACTCCCTCAAATCATTCCCTCCTTCACATTCTTCGATTTTAAGCCCATCTCTCTGATCCTCTTCCATTTCTTCTTTTAACGCCTCTACTTGATTCAATTTGGGGTTCTCCTCGTCAGTGAATTCACAATCTCCTTGTTTCAAACCACCAACTTTCTCAGTAACCATTTCCTTGCTCGGCGAAACCTCATTTTTCTCCATTTTCGCCAATAAATTGACACTAGATCTCAACCCTTCTCTCATCCTCTATCAAAAAAAGATCCCTAAAAAATTCACCTTTTTTCCTCGATAAAACTCACAAGTAAATAACCTCCATTGATCTTATTCAGCTATTAAAGTAATTCGATGATCAAAGAACCGCGAGCTGGATCTACGAAAGATTTAAAAAAAAACATTTGATCAAAACCTGACATTCAAGAAAATAAATTAAAATATGTACGAATAATCTGCCAAAAAAAATGAGAGTGGTGACGGAGAGAACAAAAAAAAAAAACTTAAAAATGCAGTAAATGAGACAGGATTATACGATGCTACGGAGTCGCGTGAAAGCACGGAGCTGACCAGGCAACGACTTGGCGAGTCGGAGGCTGTTGTGCCAGGATTGGGTTTAGATAGAGAAAAGAGAAAGCCAGGGGGTTTTAAGAGAGAAGGATCGGACACTCGGCCATTTTATTATCTGGTCCTTTTGAGTTTTGGGGGGTTTTACGTTAATTAACATAACATCGAGCATGGTTTCGCCGTCCCATAAAACATTAAGGCATGTGCAGGATGGTCATTTTGTATGGACTATGGTTTTCATTTTCCCTCCATCAAACATATGCGCCCTTGAAAAGAAATAACTCCAACCAGTTTTTGAAGGTGACGAATTCATAAATGGTTTGAGAACATTAACTTTAGTTGTCTATCCAACATCTCTCTTGCTTTGCATTTTTTATATAAAAAAAATCCACCCGAGCAATTATATCTTTGGATTTAGAAGATTTAGACTGGATTTGTCTAGCATTAATAAGGATATGAAATCTTTTATCAATCCCTTGTTAATTTATGATGATCAAAGATATGAAAAATATAAAATTTTAGAGTGTTCGAGAATATCACAGTAATTTTTTATTTAAAAATAAATTAAAATATTTTTTATTTTTAAAATTTATTTTTAATATCAATATATTAAAATAATAAAATAATTTTTTTTTTATAAAAACAGGCGGAACCGCATACCTAAACAAGCATAAACGTAAATAGAAGTGGGCAGTAATATTATATTAATTATTATCTAAAATTTACTCTAAAGAAATAGATAAATACAAGTGGTAGAGAAAAAATAAAATCTATTACTCATAAAAAATTATAAGAATAACTTGATCTAAAATTTCTCTCTTCTACTTATTTTTATTTCTTTAAAAAATATAACTAATAGAATGCAATTAATTATATACACCTTGAAAAATTCTCAACAGTCCTATTTTTTAAATATCTCCACTAAAAATTCAATTTCAACTTGCATTGCATATTAAATAAAGATCCAAATATGAAATACCTAGTCTTGGATTCTCTTTGTTGAATATCATATTAAAAAAAAAAAAAGGAGAAAAAAATAGATCCCCTTGTTCTAGTAAATAGAGATAGAAAAATGATCATGTTTTCAGGATTCAATAGAACAACCATACTTTGAGTGTACGAGAGTTTAGTAATTTTTACTATTGAGTACATTGCAAAAGCGTGTCTCACTTAAAATAATCATCAAAATGATTTTTTTAATATATTTATATACAAAAATTATAAAATTTATTTTGTTATATTTTTAAGTAAAATGTACTTTAAAAACTATTTTATATCGTAATATTAAATATCATAAACTCTTTTCTAGCGTATTTAAAAGTATGTTACGGTTATTTTTTAAAATATTTTGTATTTAAAAATATATTAAAATAATATTTTTTATTTTTTAAATTTTTTTTTCAATATCAGTACATTAAAATGATCTAAAAACTTTTAAAATATATTAATTTAAAAAAAAATTTAAAATATTTTTAAAACTTAAAAACAAATAGGACAAAAATTTATCTTTTTAAAAAAAAAAAATTCAAACAGATACGAAAATGATTTTATCTCTCAACTTAATTTTTCCTCCATTCTACTTGAATCTTGACAGTTCTCTGGATTCATCTTTCTAATAAGAAGAATTCTAACTATCCTATGGTGATTTTCTAACAAATGAGAGTGTTTTTACCTCTCTTGTCAAGATTTAACAGGTATTTAACTCTTCTACATGAGTCTTGATATTTTTCTAATTCCGTCTTAATTTCTAAAAAGAAAAGTTCTAACAGTGCTATCAATGAAGATCAACCATATTTATCTCTTCTTACTTTTTCTTTCTTTTTTATTTTCATTTAATAAAATCATATCCAATATTTATGGTTTTATATTTGATGAGCACCCTTTTTATTTATTTTATTATCAGATTTACTGTTTTATCTTTCATCAATTAAACAAGGAAGGGACTGGTAATTATGTATTGTGATTTGTTGAACATTTGTACTATCTAATGGTTATAGAGAAATGAAATCTTTCATGAATAAAACATGGCTGCTTTTATGGTAACCACTTAGTTTTGGAAATAGCAGTTTATTTTGTATTTTACACTTAATAAAATTGAAATGTATCATATAAAATTAAAAAATAAAGGTCAATAGTTGCTTCTTATCCAAGTTGCAAATCGCGAGGTGAAAATTTAAAAATATTTTGATAAGGTGAGTTTTTAATCTATGTAATTCGTTCAATATTATGCAGGTAATTTTTTTAATTATTTTTTATTTAAAAATAAATCAAAATAATATTTTTTTTTATTTTTTAAAATTTATTTTAAAATCACTAATTTAAAAAAATGTAAAAATAAAAAAATTATTTAATTTTTAAATATTTTAAAATACAAAAGCAAATTTTGTCAGGACTCGAGATTAAAAAAATAGTGCGATTATAAAGTAAACCCTCGTATTTGTGCCCACCAAGCAACGGTCATATTTGTATTGCTGGAGGTTTAAATGTTTGCTAAAAGACAATTATGGCCTCGTATTAACTCATGAAATGGCTTAACATAATACAGTTGCTCGAGCATCCACAACCATTCAAGCTAAACCAAGTCCTTAGCTACAATAGTTGGTGGAAGTGAATAAAAAGTATAGCACAGTTGTTCTTCAGTTAGCTAACTATCCTAGCAAAATGAAAAGTACTCGCTATATATAGCTGCCGGGTTGGTGGTGCGAGAGAAGGCTTGACACAGGTTAATTTGTTCGTAGAGAGAAGGAAAGAGAAGCCCCCAGCTGCTTTAAACCTTGCAGAAACTCATGAAAAACATCAAAGCAGACAGAAAAAGGAGATGAAGTATTACAAAAACTGCAATAAGAGTGATGAAGAGGCAAAGGGTTTCTTGATTATGAAAGCTTTGGCGGTGGTTGGATGTTTGTCTTGGTACGTCGGCCTTGACGTTGGAGGTAATTAATCACCTCTTCTTGTTTTTTATTCTTGGCTTAATTTCTTTATAGGTTTATCAATCTGTTGATCTTTTTGCCTGAAATTGAAAGAATTTGTTTGGTTCTCAAGAAACTATAAGAGGAAGGGAAAGGAAAGTGAAGTGATTCGAAGTTCTGCGTACGTGTGATATATCTGCTGCTTTATCTTTTTTTAATGACTAATGGATTTTATTTTAAAAAAAGAGTAGTAGTTTTTGTCAAAATTGAAGCTTTGAAAGTGGAAATCGAGGGCATCGCTATTTAAACTTCAATGCTTTTTTTTTTCTTTACTATGTAAACAAAGAATTGAAATTAAAATGGATATCAAAAACCGGAACTAGAAGTTGTAAACTGGTTGGCTAATATTTTTACTAATGGAGAAACAAGAATGGTAAGATTTGCATCTTGTTGTTACTACTTTTCCTCTAGTTCTCAGGGAATATTAGCTTTACTCTTATTCTTTTTGGGTTAGACAAGAGTTCTTCAATTTGGATTGATGGAGGCTCAGCTTAATTTCCCAATCAAAGTGACTTGGTCTCAAAAGTAACTACAGGGCCAATTCTGTCTCAACGTGCCATTTGCAAGAAGATTTCTAACAGGAAACAGATACTGTTAGAAGTGAACTTTGGTATTGATAAATACTAAATTCCACGCAAGATCAGTACTGAACATATATGCTTTAAAGGTATGTCGTCAATATTCTTGCAGGCTTTAATATATTTCAATCAACTTCTGGTAGCTCGATGAAGGAAGTGAGGTGAATATGGGCGTGCAATTAGTAAAATATCGGTTTTTTCTATGATGTAGAAGTAATGACCTGGTCGAGAGCTGACTTTAGTTTTTTCTACAATGTAAGAGTACTTTGCACCCCTGAGTTTAAAGGCTTAAAAAAAAAAGATAAAGAAATTAAGTTGTCAAGAACATGTAAGCCACGAACCGATGCATGGATAATTAACACCCATTGAATACTTATGGCACGTGAAGAACCATATGGTGGCTAGTCAGAGTGTTTCTGATAGAATTGGCTTCATATTGCCAGGGTGATCATTCTCGTCCGACGCGTGTTAGAGTTTGATGTCCAGTGCAAGAAAGGTTGCTAGGGTTCGCCAGCTGGAGATTTGATCTGTAGAGCTTTAGTGTGCTCTCCAAGTAAATAAAGACAATCAATTTTGTTCTTCCTCTTCTTTTTTTTCACTCTTTTCCCACCATAATAATAAAATGCGTGGTTATATACATATACATATAAATGAGGAGAAATTGTAGTGATGAAATCTTTACGAGCATTTTATATGATCAGGTTCACATTGTGCATGCAAGTATGTCATGTAGTGTTAATATAATGGTAAAAAACATGGGTATCATAAGGATGAAATGAGAAAATAAACAAAAAGATTATCTTATCTCCTCCGCTAGAAGGTGATGAGTTAATTGATGCCAACCAGATCCATCTTAATTAGGTTGGGTGCCTTAGGCCTGCTTGGATGTCAGGATGACAGTGTACGTGGAAGATTTATAACTCTACCAGATTCATAAGTGTCTAGGTTATCAGATAGGTAGGAACAGAAAATATGCCCAAAAAAAGAAGGGAAACATGACGATTTTTGTTTAGTTTTCTCCATTTACGATACCATTGACGAGGCTGCTGTTTTAGGCCGTTTGACCTTAAAGGACGGTGACCTAACTTGGCCTAATGAAGTTTGAAATGACTGAATGGGTGCCACCGAACAGGTTCTGAGACAAAACACCCATTGCAATATGTGTGGTTTTATCGTTTTTTGGATACCTGCAGAGCAAGTCTCTCGCCATGGGACCGAGAGGAAAAGGAGAAATACAATGTGCTGGACCCGAGCATATAAATCCCGAGCCCAACGTATCGGGCTTAGAAGGAGAGCCAAGTCCCTTGAATTTGGACAAGTAGCCTCCTTTCGAGCTCGTCATAATCAGACCCTTGGCTAGAAGCCGTGATGGTCTCTTATGAATCTAAAGCCCATCAAACATGAACCCCTTGAGTTAGGGTTTGTAGTTCTAGGCTCGCCACCCACTACAGTTACGTTGGAATTAAGAATCGGAAAGGCCAATCCAGTTTTGTACAGTATAAAATTCATTAGATCAACTATTTGAGTTTTGAATCGGGGAAAAAAATAGATATACATCCAAATATCACAACAAAATTAATAATACATAAAGACCAGCTTGAGTTTATGTTTTTCCTGGGGGAAATTTGATGCTTGGCTTCGGGAAATCATTTCCAGCTGAAATCCTCGCAAAGCATCAGTTAGCCACATGATAATTGCTACCGCAAGTTTGAATTTAAATGAAACAAATAAAATAATAAAGAATTGTTTTCTGTCCGTACGTCTAATCTCAGCTTCACGCATAAATTAGCAAAAAGGCAGATATAAAAGACGACGAGACGAGGAGATAGTTGTTGATGTCAAGTAGTGTTGCCTATGATCCGATCCTAAGGCATATGAATTCAAACATCATCCTCTTCAACAGACCAGCCTGGCCCGAAAGATTGATCAGATCCAATTTATTTAAGACTAAAACCATACTAGATTGAAAAACATAAAGGAAGAAAAAACGTAATGTGACCAGGTTGATCTGGTATCTTCTAACATCCAGTTAAAAATCTGGTTATATATATATTTTTTTTTATTTTTTTTATTTTACTAAAATAAAATTATTTTAATTTAAAAAATATTAATCAAGTCAAAACTCAGATCTTACATCAAATCAAATTCAAAAACTATAATAATTAGTATCTTTAGCTTAATAAACTCTTTAATATAAAGTTTATTTAAAATAAAATAATTAGTATCTTGAGCTGGATAAAATACTTTAAAAATTTTATTTTATTTTCTTAAAAAAATACTTTCAAAAGTTTTTTTTTTTTTAAATGATAACCAAACTTTTTGTGTGTTCTTGTCTAGTATATTTTGAATGAAGAAAATCAATTATGTCATTTTCAACAGACCAGCAACAACTTTTCTTCTTCTTCTTCTTCTTTTAACATAGCAGGTGCATTAAGATTCTTCCATGTTTTAGTTTGAGTTCTAAAACTTAAATGGATGATGATGAGACTGGATAGTATAAGACTTTTCATTATTATTATTATTATTATTATAATAACTAGACTTTTCATCTTTTCTCTTATTAAAACCTAAATTTTTTTATAATCAATAATTAATAATTTTTTTATTTAAAATATATAAAATAATTAATAACAAAGAGATATTTTAGAACTTACATTTCTTGGTCTTACATAGAACAAAAACATCCCAAACAAACCTTGAAAAAGTTAATTATTTATCTTTTATGCATTGCAAGTTAAAGATTATATATATTTTTTGTTTGGTAGTGTAATTGTGATTATTTTTTAAAATATTTTTTATGTT